ATATAGAAAACAACSATGGATGCTATAAATCACAAAAATAATATCCTATCTTATCTTTATATCTATATTTATAAAAGTGTGTACTTCAAAAATAAATTATATGCCTTACACTTGAAAATATAGCTAAATCATATAAAAATTATTGAAAATATACTATAATAATTATTATAAAAAATAGTCTTAAAGATATAAAACAACACTTGCACTGATACAGTTTTTAAGAAGATCGACTTAATTAATACTCTACTTTTAATTTTCTAGTTTTTTCTCTTCGTAGTTATAATCACCCTTTGCCTCTCCATAGTGAACAATATAAGACGGCAATATATGRYGCGAGTTAAAGATAACCARTTCCTTCCCATCAGGGGAGGTGTGAGAATCRTGRTCAGACTGTAGGGGTTCCCCATGGATCAGTTTTGTACAACGGTAGACTTTTCCAGGAAGGACCTGGCAAAGTAGCAACTTGGATGCACCTTTGATGTAACCCATTGAATATGATGGATACTCGCTGAAGTACACACCACGGCCATAAAACCCTGTCATGTGTTGGAAATACATATCATTAGTAAGAATTATCGATTGCAATAATTAAGAAATATAAAACAGCGHGCGTGTCTCTGTCCTCTGATATAAACACGGTGGCAGTTCGAAAAACACGAGAGAAGCAAGTGTTTTTCAACTCCCACCATGTTTATATCAGGACAGAGACACAAGCGGCCTTTTATATTTGTTTTATAAAATTGTTCGAGCAAAAAGAACATTTTGCCGGTAAGCCGTGTCTCTGTCCTCTGATATAAACACGGTCGTCAGCCAATCAGAGCATGCGTTATATATCAAAAATTTTATAATCAATATTTGTACAGATGAGGCTAGATAGCTAGATATGGCAAATGCACAGAGAGTATGTACATGACTGTTCACTGACACAAAGACTTGCGAAACAAAAATTTGACTAGACATTGTCATATTATCAAGAGGCCCTTGTTGTTTGACCTGTTGCACAGTCATAGAAAATTTGCTCAGTCACTACAGTCAAGTTCTCCTGCTCATGCAATAACAGCTATAAAGGACATGAACCCCCTCTGCAGTCAACACAGGAGGCCCAAGAGAGCAGTGGAGGAGGCTTACCGGTATCAGTTGCATGCTCAAAGTTGGATTCCCCAGGCGTTCTAAAGCCTGTTTCTGATATTGATGGTATATTAGTCTCTTTAGTTCCATGGAAGGCTAATACTGGATAGGAATCATTTTGTCCTCTCATCTCTTTTAGTTTCTCTTGTGCCTTCTTGAATCTTTTTATAAGAGTTGGGTTTACAACATACTCTACTTTGGCCACTCTATAGTTGTCTTTGATATCCACAAGGCGATAGAATTGTGATTCTGAAGAATGATTTGCTTAATATTAAATTGTAACTGACAAGATTGCTTACACAGTGTCTATTCAATCATATTTGTAGATTGTTGTTACATTAAAGTTCTTATATATAGTGACTATTTAACAAATAGATCTCATTTTTCYGTGCGTGTGTACTCTAATAGATACACAGATGACGTCAAAATGTAGTGAGAACAAAAAAGTACGCACGAGACGCAGTCGAGTGYGTGACTGTTGTTCTCACTACATTTTGATGTCATCTGTGTATCTATAAGAGTACACACGCACGGAAAAATGAGGTCTATCTGTTTTATACAACAAACAATTAGTTTTGACGTAATCCGTGTATCTATACTTTGATAACACACGAAAGCCAACCAATCAAAACGTCTGATTTTACTGAAAAGTTGTATAATAATCACTATCACTCAAATACAACACATGATTTCTCATAGGGTACATATAATTGAATCTGGGTTTGAAAACCTGTAAGTCTGGTGCATTTAATTACTGGACCAACGCATCTCTTAGACTCTTATCAAACCAGCATGTAGCCTGTGTTACATATTGAATACAATAGTCAAATGTTACACAGCCTAAAATCAGCATGTGAACAGCCACTACCCTGACACCTAGTGAGTGCTCATTGTTTCATTCTAATCTCATGGTTGAATTCATGTATTTTTAGAGTCTTTGAAATCCAAACAACGCTGTAAGACATCACCCAAACTGCATTTCTTACCTGCCAAACGGAAATGGATTTGAGCAGCTGAMCCTTCCTTGAACTCTCTTTCCGCATAAAGTGGAAAATACACCAGTTCACCTTTTTCCATTGCTTCTTGCTCGCCATCAATTTTTGATACTTTCTCAAGCTGGCTGTGRACTCTCTTTAATTCCTTGTTTTTATTCTCAATGATTTTTTGGGTTTCATTGAGCTCTTTCTTAAGCATATCTTTCAGCTCAAAGGCACGTCGGATAAGCTCCTTGCGCTCTTCCTCTGAGAGSATTGAATAGCATTTGACAATGCTGGGACCTCGGCTTAAAACTGTGTTGTCTCTGGAAATTCTGAACAGAACAACAAAATTATTWAAAAAGTTGTGTTGGCATGACCAATATGGCTCAGGTTTACAGGAAAGTGAGTGTCAATGAGTGACCGATTGCTTGCACAATCTTGGAGATAAATACTATGGTCTTTACACATATCTGTTATAAATAATCGCCAAATCTATAAGCTTATAAATAAATGATCTGAAAATGAAGAACATGGCCAAATACTTAAGTGAGTTTTATAATTATAAGGATTTTGCTTCAATAAGGTTAATTCAATCTTAATTACAACTCYTTTTGACCATAATTATTACAACAAACAATACATTATCTAACAGTTATTCTTTGTAAATGTACAAATCATGTGCTTTATTATATCACGCGAACATGCCTAAAGCAATTAAGTTAATTTATAACACTTTCTCAAGACTTGCACACTCGAAACAAACTCGTTTTGATTGCAACATAGTATTGTCAACTTACGAAGAAGTGAAGCTGCCATCAGTATCATCGTTGCCGAAATCTTCTTCCTCATCCATTACCTGAGTCGCAGCACATCCATTCCACGCTTCAGAGACGTCAACAACATCGCACTCATTTTCCTCTTTCGATTGATCGAAGCCATTTTCCTCGGAATCTTCTTGAACTGGGTGCTGATATTCAGCGAAGTGTATCAATTCAGTCTCTTCGCAGTCAAATCCATTAGGGCAGACTGGTAAATTGTCATTTTGGCTTCCGTGATGTCCATTTTCGTGACTTTGACTAAGTTTACACTTGTCGCCATTTTCAATTAAAGTTACTTGGGGGTGTCGGAACTCCGCTTTGTGCTGAGCACTGCTCCTAAAACACCTTTCACCATATTTACACATAGGTCTGATGTCTTTATCGTCATTTTCTTCAGTATTACTATTTTCTGTATTTTGTAATTTAGGTTTTTTTACACGTGGCTCGCGTTCCGCTTCTTCGATGCTCGCCATGTTTACTTTTGCGCACCTGGAACTCGATCCAGTCCTCTCTGAACTTCTCGTTCAAAATGGCGGACGAAGTGTGCCTTTTACAAAGTTGAGAAATATCTAACGAAATTTCCCTTTTTACGATGTCATACTTTGTAATTTGTGAAAAATCTGTTTTCCAGTGCTATGTACTTTCTCACTGAATGAAACTAGCGGTTTCCTCTGTTTACAGAAGACACAAATTGTATATTTTCTACGCGTTAAAAGCATCTAGCGATGTCATATCCAACACCATCGATTTCACATTTGAAAAGCGAAGACTACCAGCTCATCTATGAACCAGCTGAGGACTCGTTCTTGTTGTTGGATGCCTTAGAAAAAGATGCGCAATACTTGAAAGAGCGTAGGTATATCCAACACTTAGACTTCAATATTTCAAAATTGTTTTTGTAAGAACGTGGAATTTTTTTTAGCCCAAGTCTTTGTGTAGAGGTTGGAAGTGGTTCAGGTGTAGTAATTACTTTTCTAGCAAGCATCCTTGGATCGTGTTGTTCTTATATGTAAGTAAGCATGTATAGATTATGATCAATCAGTCATATATATTCTTCAACCTGTCAATCAAATAATTTTCCAAATAGTTTTCCAATCAAACTAGTCAATCAACAAGCCAGTCAACTGAAATCATATTAAATCAATCAATCAGTCAATCGATCGATCAATCGGTCAATCAATCAATCAATCAATAGGTTATATTCATTCAAACAACATACCAGTCAGTCAATAGATCATCCAATCAATTTCAATCAATTAATCATGACAATCAATCAATCAGTTAAAGTATCAAAGGTCAATCAATCAGCCAATCAATCAATCAATCAATCAGCCAATCAATCATTCAATCAATCAATAAATCAGTTAATCAATTAGCCAATTATTGAATTAATCAATCAATAAGCCAACCAATCAATCAACAAGTACAATATCAAGCTGTCAAACAAATATTTAGTCAATCAAACAACAAAGCAAACCCGGGGGGGGGGGAGGTACTCCCCTAAATTCGCTATACGGGGACGTGCCGCCAACCAGGGTATCGTTTTCAGCAGTTTTACTCTGGAACAGGGTATAGTTTTCGGCGATTTCACTCTGGAACAGGGTCAGGGTTTAATTTCAGAATTATTGATGCTGGATAAAAATCCACTGGGTAAAAATTTGGTCTACACTCAGTCTAGTGCCCCCCCCACCCCCCCCACCCCCAAAGCACAAATACGTTAACATGTGACTTGTCTGATCAATCTGTTTTTCACCAAATTTTTACCAGAGCCACAGATATAAATACCAAAGCAACAGAATGTACAAAGCAGACTGCTTCTGCCAACGGATATCTAGTTGATGCTATAGCAACAAACCTTGTAAGTCAGAAATGGGCTTCCTGTTTCATCTTATTTACCATTATATCACAATTGTTTTTAAAGCAATTTCAATGTTTTGTAGGTAGATTGTCTGTTGCCAAGGTTACATGGTCATGTGGATGTTCTGATATTTAATCCACCATATGTTGTCACTCCATCAGAAGAGGTAAATAAGCTAGCTAAAATCCCAACCAAAATGATGCACCTCATAGTAGTATATGGACAGTCTGTGCTATGAAAAAACTCTCCAATTTTTGAATATTCTTTGTAAATTTAAAGATAATTTTATAAATTATTTGTGTGATGTGTATTAGGTTGGTAGTCAAGGCATAGAGGCTTCTTGGGCAGGTGGTGAGAAGGGAAGAGAGGTTAGTTTAAAATTTATAGAGTTTTCAAGCATATATTTAACTTGTCTAGTTTTCTTTTTGAAGCAAAAACGCTTGCATTGCGGCTTGAAAGAGTCAAAGAATTTGAATAGCTGTCTGTAAGACTGCAATTGTCTGACATAGCTTGAAAGCTGTGTTGTACAAGTAAAGAGTTTAAGCTACATGTAGTATATAACTTCAGTAATAGTTTGCAGCAGACATTGCATCACGACCTCAATGATTTAAACAATTAGACTGCTCTTTGTCTGTGAGAGAGCAATTAATTCTCTGACATAGCTTGAAAGCTCTGTTGAACAAGYAAAGAGTTTTCAAGCTAGTATTTAACTTGGCTAGCTTGCTTTTTGCAGAAAAACCATTTGCATTGCGACCTAAAAGATTGAAAAATTAGACGGCCATTTGTCTATGAGACAGCAATTCTCTGACATAGCTTGAAAGCTCTATTGTAAAAATAGTGGAAATAGTGCGATATGCATCTGTGTTTTTTAAATATTAAACAGTTGTGTAAAAGTAGTCAAACAACTTAATACTGACATTTTGGATGTTAATCCTGTGTCTGAGTAAAAAGAGACTCCAACAAAGTATTAAGGTCCGAAACGTCAGCTCTGTTGTAATACAAGTAAAACAAACAACATTAAATTTGTCTATCAACTAAGGTCACTGTTTTATTTCAGGTTACAGATAAATTGCTACCATTAGTACCATTATTGCTATCAGACAATGGATGTTTTTATATTGTTACTATACCAGAAAACAAACCAGAGGAAATTAAGGATATTTTGTGTAATACCGGTGGACTGAACTGCGATACAATCATACAACGAAAAGCTGGCAGAGAACGACTATCAATATTAAGATTTTCGCATTAATAATTGAGTCTACACGCCACACTGTCAATAATACAATATGGAGAGAACATTCACCATAAAATAGTGCACAAACACTAAAACCATGAAAAAACTTTAGCACAGTAGATAAATATGCTAAATTGTACTGAATTATGTGACTTTGCATTTCCATGAACTGCAAGGGGTCTAAATGAGGAGACGAATTCATTGTTTTCTTCAAGGATTTTTAGTTGACAAATAAATCTAGTATTCTTTAAGTTAACTGAAATTTTAAAAAGTCACTTCCATAAACCCTCTACTTCATTCAAATATTTTAAATTATTCTTAATAATATTCACAGAATAAATAGTCTCTAATAATAATTCCAAGGATATAATTATTGTTATTAATGCTAGTTTCCTCATAACACTCCACAATGTGTGTTTGCTAGCCTCCTCCACAGGCAACTCTTTTTTCCTCCTTTGGGCTTCCTTTGTAACGGTCATTTTGGCCGTTAGGGACTAGTGACGAGATAGCCCCTTTTCTCGTAGACTCTTCCGCAGTCCCCTGCTCGGCTTTTGGTCTTCTCCCACTGCGAGAAGACCAAAAGCCGAGCAGGGGACTGCGGAAGAGTCTACTTTTCTCGCCCCCATTCTCCCTCTTTTGACTCATCAAAAAGACAGGAAGCCCGTGATTCTTAGTGATGCCTGCGGAGGAGGCTGCTTATTTTTTTTTTTTTTTTCTGCTTGGAAACTGTGTCTCACCACAATAGAAATTGAGATAAGTTTCTCTGAAAAGTTTCACCAGGGTTTTGTTTGATACTGGGGAGGACAACCTTTTTGCTTTTGTAGCCTGTGTGCATCTGGTTTAATATAGAAATAACCAGACAGTGTTAACAGGGAAACTTTGTCCGAAACTGTGTCTTGCAACAGAAATTGAGATATAACATTCCTCTAAAAAGTTTCACCACAGTACTGGAGTAGAGTCACATTTTCTTTTTGAAATGGAATTATCTTTTTGCATGACATGAAGTCTTCGCACATCTGGTTTAATCTAGAAATAACCAGATAGTGTTTCCAGGTAATTGCATGACATTTTAAAGATATTGGCAATAATTTATAGAAATCCAAGGATAAGTTAACTATTCTCCTAAACCTCTGAAGAACACTCCAAAGGTCCCAGGTTTATATGCACTTTGTGGCGCATGGTTTCAATGCGAGTTTCTGGTTCTTGTTTCCCTTTGAGTAAGGCTGCCGAGGTATGCTTGTAGTCATACTGCATCACCATTGAGAACTGAATCAAAATTTATCATATTTATTAATAATTATTAATGTAGAGCCATTAATTCAGTGACTATTACTCATTGTAAGGATTTTACATATTTTTGTTATTATCACTTTTTTCTGCCTTTTACAAAATATATAAGTGGCAAACTAAGTTTCTGAACTCTTAGATGAACACAGTCATCGTGGTTCACTGTAACATACCTTGACATCCCCAACTGGTTTCTTAGGAGTAACTTTGATATAAAACCAAAGCTTGTTGCACTGACGGTCTGCAATAACCCTGAAATAAATAAACAGTGAAAATTGTCACACAATGGGACATACTTTCACTGTAAATAGACCTAAACGGCTAACGCATTTGGTATAAACGTTTCCACCCAATTCAAACCACCCGGGAGTAAGTTTCATTGTTTGTTGTATTTTCATTTCATAGTTGAATTCTTAGAAACAATACTAAAGTTCTTTTTCCCACAGGATTTGAATTGGGTGTTAACGTACATGGCAACACGTTAGCCAATTAGGTCTGTTGCTAGAAATAGATGGAAGAATGAGTGATTGAATAATGGATGGAAAATGGATAATTAAGGTAATTAATGAGAGCAGACTTGTAGTAACCCAGTCGTTAATCTTCTTTTTTCTTTGGTTCACGCAAAGGATCAAGGGAAGTCAGAAGTTTGGACTTCCCTTAATGAAATGCGACCATTAAAAAGAGCAAGAGAAACGACTGGGTATAGCCTCCTTCGCAGGCAACTCTACTCCATGGGATTCCTGTGTTAAGGCAAAAAAGCTGCCGGAGGGGTTATTTGTTAATTCCTAATCTCTCGACACCAGTTCTTCTCGGTCAAGAATATGAACACAGGAAGACCAAGAAGAGAAAAATGTCTGTTTCCGATGGAGTAGCCTGCGAAGGAGGCTAGACTGGGTATTGGTCTGAAGTGCAAGCTCATTCTACCTGGGGTCATCACTGAACAATTCAGCTGTAGTATCAGTGTCATCAAATTCAGCAGCTTCATCACGTGCACCTAGTGCTAGAATACAGGTCGGTAGAACTACCTGTTAATAAAACACCATTATGTAAGAGAACTAATAAAAAATAGTTTTTAACAAGTTATTATTTRAATACCTCTGCGGTGGGTACGAATGCTCTACTGTCACATCGGTTGTTGACACGTCGCTCTGTCTTTCTGTCGAACAACGCTGAAGCAACTAGACTATCCGTCTTCGCTTTTTCATCTTTCTTGTTCTCTTCTATATTCCCATTTTCCTTGTTTTCACCATCTTTCTTSTCTTCCTTAATCTCATTTTCAGTTTTCACATCAATCTTCTCAATTTTCTTCTCTTCTTCTTCTATATTTTCTTTGTTTTTGTCATTTTCTTTGTCTTCTGTGTTTTTTTGTACTTTTCTTTCCTCATCGTTCTCTTCATATGAATGGAGAGTAACTTTGACWATGCTTTCAACTGGGTTGGTCATTGATAACATTACTTGGGCTTCCTGTGTAAACAAATGGTGTTGTCAAGGTAACAAAATGATAATTATGATTGTGATGCTTTAAGTTTTATTAGTTCAAATAACATACTAACTATTGATTGGTCAAAGTCTACCAATGAAAACTCAGTAAAGTTCTTCTAGGATTCGTTTTCAAGAATAACCTCCCTTCCCCCCCCTCCTCCAATAACTCATAATACATGTAATTAGTACAAACCTCATTATAGACCAGGGGGGGTATACTTGCTATGCGGATTCTTGGAACATAGTACCTAAAAGTAAATTTAAAAAGATGATTTCTTCAAAATAAAATTCAAAATAAGGGAAKTATAGGAGAGAACTTTTAATATGAGATAAAGATAATATTATTATTACATGTATATATTATAAAAATATCTTACAGAGATCCAAGTTGAATTTTAAACTTTATTGATGACGGATTGAACTCTGGTTTGCTCAAATTGTGCTCACACTCCTGGAAACAAAGATCAACATTACAGCAGAAACCGTTGCATCGCGACTTCAATGTTCAAAGGAAATAGTTGGTATTTAGGTTTTTCTGCGACTTGGGGGCGGAGCTTGATACAAATCAGCCAATGATTGAACGAGTTTTCAAAAAGCTCCGCCCCTCAGATTGAAAGAAAGAACAAAATCCAGACGAACTTCAAAACAAAGAGGTCGCGATGCAACGATTTCCGATGTAAGTAGTGAATATTGATAAAAATAAAAATATTATCAACTACTAAGAGGATATGATTATAATGACGACAATRACAATTTATCATAAATACATTAACATTTGATGATGCTGATGACTGGTGATGATGATGATTAAGACAGAGAATGTCAATCAATTGGTCTTACCCTGCAACGCTGGGATCTCTTGGCCAAYAGATGCTTGTGTCTTGTATGAAGAGCTCTATAGTGCAATAAAATCTAGATAGTACACTATTTTACACATCAATACTTAGTCTAAATACATTTTTGCACTTTTGTGAAACTATTTTATAATATAATAATAGTTAATAATCATGTAATAATTATTTTTAGTAACATACTTAATGTCMGTTGGTTGTAAATCAGGGTTTGACAACCTCTGGTTGATGTGAGGAACTACAAAGAAAAAAACAACAACATATTATTGGCATATAAAAATATTTTTTTTCAATAAATCAGACTTTAATAATGGCTACTTACTTTTTTCAAGGCTAAGCGGTTTTGTGTAGAATTCCTCAGGTAAAGTTTCAACATCTTCAGTA